AAATGTATTATTATTATTATACAAATAAAATTGAATTGAATTGAATTGAATTGAAATTGAAATGACTCATTTGGGTCCCAGGCTGCAAAAATATTCAAAACCTGTTTTTAATTTACTTTTGTCACCTCTCAGGTTCCGGGTGACAAAGTGTGAAAAACTAGCCAAGGAGAGGCGGACCCTGTTAATAACAGACTCCAATGGGAGCGTTCCTTCATCTCCTACGGAGGTGGAACCCAAGAGTCGGACCATGTCAGAGTCCCAGCAGGTCGGTATCCTGGAAACTTCTTCATCTGTGTCCCTCTTTCTCTTTGTGTCCCACCGGGCTCTTTCCTGCTCACACTCTGTATACCTAAGTATTTGTTTATGTATGCAAAATGATTTATTTATGTGTGCCCGTTCATGTTCACAGCTCTTAGTGACATTATGCCTTTTGCACTGGTCGACAAACTAGAGAATGTTTGATTAATAGCACACTACATTTAGCACTGTTTGATATATAATGTAATAATAATAACTGTTTTAAGGCTGCAACTAATGACTATTTTCATTATCTGTTAATGTGACGATTATTTCTTGATTAAGCTTTCAATTGTTTGGCCCAGAAAATAATGAATAATAGCTAATACGATATACTAAAAGCCCAATGTGACATCTTTAAATGCTGTAGTTTGTTAAATATTAAGTTTAATAACACATATATAGTACATTCACACACCTGTATAGAAAGCACAAGTCAAGTTTGTTTCTGTACAGTTTCCTAAACACAGAGGCAATATATACTTAGAAAACACTAAAATCTCCCCAAAGAATGTAAAACACTGAGAAAGCAGAGTCAACAAGAACAGCTGCATATATGGACATTGTCTATCTTTCACTCAACAATTAGCCAAATACGTGTTTAAAAATTCAGGATAAAGAGGGAAAAAAAATTGTAGCAGTAATCAGCCTGCAGCTCTGCTGTTTTCTGTTTACATCACAGGAACTCTGGTTTATGAAATTACAATGCTCCAGGTGATCATGAACAGCCTCCGCCTGTCTCTCCTCAGTGTTTAATTTATCGTTTACAAGAGTGTGCAGAGGAGTTGTGTCTTCCTGTTGAACTGCACAGAATTGCCACGCAGTTTATTTCTTCTCAGATTCTTTTATGACAAAAACACTGAAATTCTACCTCAAGGTGGAATTTGAGCTCAGTGGTGCTTGATAATCACATTTAACATTCATGCATACAATTACAGTCTAATATGCAGGGATGCACCAATCAGATCGGTTTTGGTCCTGATACTTATCTTATTAATCAGGTGTCCGCAGTTTTCTGCTCCGTTATATTGATTTACTGTAGTGGGCTAACGTGTAAAGCTTCACAATTAATGCTTTTTAATGTGAAGACAGTGGCAGGCCTTTTATTTTGAAACAAAAGTGAGATCCGCAGTTGGCTAACATTACAAAATAAGTCATTTTTCAATTTTCATATTTAAAGTTTTTGTCTGGAGGTTGTTTTGATCATATGGGCAATTTATTGTTTAAAACATGTTTTTAACTAAGCTTGATAAAGGAGAATGCATTGTGACGGCACAATTTCATAAACCTTCTTAACAATATAAACAGTATAAATATTTTACTTATGCTTAAGAAAGGATGTGTAGGCTCTTTTTTTTACAGTTTCTTGTCCTAAAAATCCCGAGCAGATTCTGAAGTTGAGACTTCGGCAGAATGAGAGCTTACAGCCTGAACAGATCTGTGTCGTAACCAAATTTGCTTTAGGGTGGAGAAACATTACTCGTGTTTCAACAGATGACACAAAGAATCCATTTACAGCTTCAGAACACATTTTACATCCGTGTTTGTTTCATTTCAAACTGTTATTTCACATATTGACTTTCAGCTGTCTCATATTGACTGTGCGGGAAAGAAAAATGCCTTCCACCCAAGAGAATAAACAAACCCTGCAGCGTGGAAGAGTGATGGCAGAACACTCCTAATCTGAAGATCATTGAGTGTGTCGATTATTTTCTGTATTAAATCAAGATTATTTCCTTCCTACCAGGAACAGACGGACAACTTGAACAAAGAGAACCGATAGAAAACCAGGTAACGTGTCACGTCTTTATCAGTTATACCTGTTTTTTTTTTACGTTCTTATGTGTCTTGACACCATTTATTCCCCCCCTCGTTCTACAGATGTCCAAAGAGAGGAGGGAAACAGCATCTGGACACTTTTTTAAAATCCCAAACGAGAACATCATCAGCAAAAATCAGCAGTGGAGGAGCGAAGTCGACTCGAGAGTCGTGCCTCCACATTCCTGCTCCACGGGGGAGCCAAACGTGCTGCTGGTGATGAGGACGGCGGTGGCGAGAATGGCGTTTAAAGTCACACTGGCCACTTATTTTACAAGCAGAAAGGAGGTAAGGTGTGTCTGTTTATGATACAATCTATATCCTCCCAAACATAGATTTACAGTTAGTGCCTTGCTCACGGGCGTTAAAGCAGGGAAGCTGCTCAACGTCAAGGAAGCCTGAGCCATGGACGCGATCCATGATGTATGTACATATGATTTTGTATGTCAAGGTAGTTTTTGCATGTTATGAGTCAGATAATTGATAAAACTACACTCCAGAAAACAGGTACAACCAGTCTTAGATTATATTGTAGGTTGTCATTCCCAAACAGGAAGTAGGAACAACCCTGACGTAGAGGTCACAGAGCCAGGAAGTAGACCAAAGATGTGATAAGAGTAAAGCAGCAGTAATCGTATCCTGTAGTGGCGTGAACGCGATGCCGTCAGGATGATTAGGCATTATCGTCAGGTTTATGTGTCCTGCTTTCAAAACAGATAATCTGCTGTCTTAGCTTCCAGTCTGAGCTCTAATGAAGAAGACAACGCAGTATTCTGGGTCAAACAATTAGCTGTAATACTCACACAGGGGCTGCTCACTCAGTGACAGTGTTATTCTGACATTAACAGCCAAAATCCTGATGCAGGTCAGTCTGCTCCTTCCAGGTCACTGCCTGGTTTCCCCCTTTTGTGATTTCCCATGGTTCAAACCGGCATTACTAAATCTTTAAACTTGCCTTAATAGTTTTTTTTCTTGGTCACTCTTGTGGCTATAAACACATTTACATATTATCAGCTTATAAAGGGGTTTTGGTGGATGTGTTTAGCAAACAGTTGCCTAGTTACACATCCAGAAGTCATTAGCAGTCATGTGGAGTTTCTGTCCAAAGCCGTATTTTAACTTCATTGTGCGGCTCGACTCTTCTCTGCTCACTTTTTGTACCTCTACTTAGTTTTTTCCACCGTATATAGTACTTTGCATAGTACCCCCTTCAACGTAGGTGGAGCTGATCGTCATAGCAACGCAGTTGGGAAAAACAAGCCGGAAACAACAGAGAGCTTTACTTTGGTGGAGAAGCTGCAGCTGTTATTCACTAGAAACCTACACTACCTTTACTGGCAGACTGACACCCTCACTGCACCGCTGTCATCCACTCACTACGCACACAAGAGAGAGCGTTGCTCTTATAATGGAGGATATGGAGTGACGGGATCCACGGTCAACTAGTTAGCAAGCGTTTTGCTAACCTTAGCTAACTTCACATGTACACTATATACACATATATATATATATGTTGGTTTTATCTTTAACCATCTTCAAACTAGTACTGTCTTTTCATCAGACGAGCCGAGCACAAAGCTTCTCTAAGAACAGGAGAGGAGAGAGTTGACCGAGGCTTGCTCAACTGTTGTTGGAGCGCAGAGGTATCAGCTCAGCACTTTTGGAACTTCGACTGAGGTGGTACCATAAAAAGTACCAGGTACCGTCTATAATGGGAAACCCAAAAAGAGCAAGCAGAGTCGAGCCGTACCACGAGGTGGAGTAAGCGGCTCAATATTCATTCTTTATGTTGTTCTGAGACTGAAAGATTTAAAACAAGAAGCGGTTGTTACAAAATTTGGGAGTTTAAAAGACATGAATGTTTACCAGTTGAAAAGATGCACTAGTTGCATTATGGGAAATGTAGCATACAGTGTTGTATCTCAGCCTTTTTCTGCTTTGATTTCGATCACTTTTTAAAAAATCTGTCTCATGTGAGTCCTGCAACTTCATGCAAGTGAAATCACTGGAGTAACCCTTAAAAGACGAGGTCAGACATAATCATCCCAACATGTCATTTTCCCAGACCTTTGTGATGAAAACACATCATTTTAGCCGGTATTTGTGAATGTAATGTCATTGTGCCTCGTTTAAAAAAACAAACGAACATACCTTTTTGTTATTCATATTTTGGGGCAGTTAGATGTATTTTCATTGTTGTGTAATGAATGAAATAAAGATGACTAATAACATATCAAACCATAAATAATTAGCTGTTATTGTTGTCATTTAATCATTCACTGTATACTGGTTGAGACATGGGTACATTAAAGTGATAAAAGCCAGTGTCCACTGACCTGCAGGCTAACCTCTCCCTCTCTTCCCTCTCCTGAGTGAAACATCTGTCTTCATAGTCCATTCTTTCTCATTTCCTTCCATCCTCGCTCCTTCTCTCCCTCTTTTCGCACCATAATGAAAAGATGATTTGTCTTATTCATCTCAAGTAGGTAGTCCGACGACCTCGAGCTCTCTATCATATTATTTCCAGATAATGGAGATGAGATGGAGATGGAGAGGTGTTTTGAGCCGATGCGCGAGACGGAGGATTAACAATCCTTGACTCTTTTGTCTCCTCTTGACCTTCCGAGTCTTATCGGGTTCACTCATGCAAACATACACCTTCCTTTTCGATAAAGGATACACAAGTTTCTGACCTTAAAGAGGAAGAGCAGGAGAAAAGATGGAAATCAGTTAATTTAGGTTATTAGATCGCTCAATTATTAACTTGATGCCTAACTGCTCCGAACAACAGCGAGGACGTGATTAAACAAGGCCTCTGAGTGACACATGGCTGCCGCTGGTGTCACTTAACAGCGCTGGAGGGAGGATTGACTTTCAAAGTGTTGACAGGGACGGGGAGAACATTTACATTCAGTGGAAAAACGAAACTCTGATAGCACACAAGGCGACATCACCCCACCCATGACTGTAGGCTCAAAGCAAACCTGCCTGTTATATACACACGTACGCAGGAGGGTGGCCTCGGGGTGTTAAACCTGTCAAAAAGATGCGGTTGACGGTGTACGACATGAAGGACCTGGTGTAAATATTGACTGTATGTGTGTGTGTGTGTGTGTTTACTTTAGCTCTTACTGGGAACAAAAAAAACACAAGAGGGTGTCACCAGTTCTGTTAAAAAGGTTTCTTACATTAAAGCCACTAAAAACAAAATCCATGAGGGAAATTAGATATGCACATAAAAATGGTATAGATAATAATAAAGCTCCGTTCTGTCTCTTTTGCATGACTTCATAAGCAGTAAATTTATCTCAGGCACTGAATTATTCAGGCCTCCAGGCGAAAGAGTTCCCATGCCGATGTCGGTCTAAGTGCCCTACATCTTATCTTTGTCTCTGGCTATCAGCCAAGAGGATGGCGCGCTCTGGTTCGGGGGGGGAGAAAGAATTTTTTTTTTTTTTAACATTTGGGACCAGAGGGAAAAAGTCTAGTCAATGTTTAACACCTTTGAACTACATCAGGGCCATAAATGCGGTGACCTTCTAAAATGGCTCACTGCCCACCTTCCTTTATTCAAACAGCGTGATTCCAGAGGACAGTGAGGGAAGCAGTGACTGGAAAATGGCACTATCTTAACCACAGTTAAAGCCGCACATAATACTTCTGGAAGTAGAAACGGGGACATGCGTTCTCTCATAAAAGAGCCTTACTTGGACTGGTATGAGCATCTGTTTACAGCTAATGTTACGTTAAACTAACATTCGTGAGATATTGTTCCCACTTCATATTACCGCTGAGTTAATTTATGTTGGCATCCACCACTAGACAGCAAAGGTTACACTACAACTAATTCAGTTTCCAGTTAAGGAATTCAATATTTAACCAGAGTGAAACATTTCCAGTGATCTCGGGTGAACACTGGGAGGACTATTTTGGGCTCTTTAAAAGGTGAAAGATACCATTTCATGTCAACACTGATTAATGCATTCTCAGGACAATAAAAGGGTCAAATCAACAAACATTAAAAGGCAAGCCGGTGGCTGACCCTGCAAACAGGAGGAAACCAGGAAATAAAATCCCAGTTTGACTGACGGCATTGTGTTTTGTGTCTTTATACAAATTTATACGCAAGTTAACCCAGAATGTGTCAAATAATCCTGTTCTATATTTGACATTTCCCCCTTTAAATACAGTCCTACCCGTTCCTCCGAGACGAGGAAGTGTGCTGCAATTATGAGTGACATCATTAACGCCAACAAAGCCTTGAGAAAAACAAACACGTTAAGCGAGCACACACACACACACCTCGGGGACCGTACAGCCGGCTGCCTAATGGACCTAATAAAGACGGCATGAAGGAATCTGACACACAAACGCTCTTTATTTGCCTGCACACACTCAACGCGCAGCAGGTTGCGGCGCAAATGAGCTTGTTGCAAAACTACTTTTGTGCTGTTATCTCGAGGCGGGGTGAGGTGAATTGATTACTGTGAGTCACTGGGATGACGGCATCAGTAAAGAGTAACAGCGGAGGATAACGAGAGGTCACTTATTTCATGGAAAACAACAAGGTCGGTAGGAAAGGTGACCTGCCTTCATTTATGGAGGAATGTCAATCTCTCACACAACTGAATATCCACATATCTGTCTGAAACTTTTCCAGGGTGGAAACGTGTATTTATATGACTATAAATATCTCTATATACTGTTTTATTTGACCTATTCTCCTTTATACAAATTTAATTATCTTTTTGTATGTGTTACATCAAGAGACCTTGTGTTATAATAATAAATAAATGTCCTTAAACCTTGAAACTATGTTTTTTGTGATTTTCATGCTTTCAAATAAGTTGAACGATTAAAAAGACACATCTGGTAATGTTATATATTATATTCACTGACAAAATATCCCCAATAAACAATGAATGTATCCTGCTAACAAGTAGACCTCTGTCAGGGAAAATGTCTGACAAAAGGAACTCTGAATTTAACATATATATCAAATGTGTTTTTTGCATGCACACATTTAAATTGCAGTTAATGTAGGTGTAGTTTCCGAGGTACATCACAGGTATTTACAGTATTTTAATTTTTTACATCGGTTCAGTCTTTTCCTTTAACAGCCGGTCAGCAAATGTTACTCAAACAGGAGGAAATAGTCCATTTAGAGGGACTATTTTCAGCTATACGGAAGAAAAGTAAGACTGTGTGGGATTGAGTCAAAATAAACTTATGAAAACTGATGTTTTCATAATGAAGTAACACGACACAAGTGAGGCTCTGGATGCTTTGATGTAATCCAGGTATTCAATGAAAAAGCCTAAGGTGTCAGTCTCTAAACGCAGATCAGGATAATGGCATCGAATTGAGCACACCTGTCCTTTGGTCATGCAAGTTTACATGGGAAATGTAGTTTGTAATTGTTGTTGCCGGGTTTAAATTCACAGGAGGCTCCGCGGATCCGTCCCAGAAACTGAGGATGACAACTCCTGATTTGTATATTATTATTCTGATGTATTGACTGCTTTTTTATTGATGTAATGTTAGTTGTATGCCGAAGAGAGATAACAGCTGAGGACGTGATTAAACAAGGCCTCTGAGTGACACATGGCTGCCGGCTGGTGTCACTTAACAGCGCTGAGGGAAGGATGACTTTCAAGTGTTGATCAGGGACGGAGAAACATTTACATTCAGTGGAAAAGACGAAACTCTGATAGCACACAAGGCGACATCACCCCACCCATGACGTAGGCCAACAAACCTGCTGTTATATACACACGTACGCAGGAGGGTGGCCTCGGGGTGGTTATAACCTGTCAAAAGTGCGGTTGACGGTGTACGACAATAAGGACCTGGTGTAATATTGACTGTATGTGTGTGTGTGTGTGTGTTTACTTTTAGCTCTTACTGGGAAACAAAAAAATACACAAGAGGGTGTCACCAGTTCTGTTAAAAAGTTTTCTTACATTAAAGCCACTAAAAACAAAATCCATAGAGGGAAATTAGATATGCAATAAAAATGGTATAGATAATAATAAAGCTCCGTTCTGTCTCTTTGCATGACTTCATAAGCAGTAAATTTATCTCAGGCACTGAATTATTCAGGCCTCCAGGCGAAAGAGTTCCCATGCCGATGTGGTCTAAGTGCCACTACATCTTATCTTTGTCTCTGGCTATCACAAAGAGGTGGCGCGCTCTGGTTCGGGGGGGAGAAGAATTTTTTTTTTTTTTAACATTTGGGACCAGAAGGGAAAAAGGTCTAAAGTCAATGTTTAACACTTTGAACTACATCAGGGCCATAAATCGGTGACCTTCTAAATATGGCTCACTGCACCTTCCTTTATTCAAACAGCTGATTCCAGAGACAGTGAGGGAAGCAGTGACTGGAAAATGGCACTATCTTAACCACAGTTAAAGCCGCACATAATATTCTGGAAGTAGAAACGGGGACATGCGTTCTCTCATAAAGAGCTTACTTGGAAGGTATGAGCCCCATCTGTTTACAGCTAATGTTACGTTAAACTAACATTCGTGAGATATTGTTATCCACTTCATATTTACCGCTGAGTTTAATTTATGTTGCATCCACCACTAACAGCAAGGTTACACACACTAATTCAGTTTCCAGTTAAGGATTCAATATTTAACCAGTAGTGAAACATTTCCAGTGATTCGGGTGACACCTGGGAGGATAATTTTTGGGCTCTTTTAAAAGGTGAAAGATACCTTTCAATGTCAACACTGATTAATGCATTCTCCAGGACAATAAAAGGGTCAAATCAACAAACATTAAAAGGCAAGCCGGTGGCTGACCCCTGCAAACAGGAGGAAACCAGGAAATAAAATCCCAAGTTGACTGAGCGGCATTGGTGTTTTGTGTCTTTATACAAATTTATACCAAGTTAGACCCAGAATGTGTCAATAATCCCTGTTCTATATTTGACATTTCCCCCTTTAATACAGTCTACCCGTTCGTCCGAGACGAGGAAGTGGTGCTGCAATTATGAGTGGACATCATTAACGCAAAAAGTTGAGAAAAACAAACACGTTAAGCGAGCAGCACACACACACACCTCTGGGGACCGTACAGCCGGCTTGCCTAATGGACCCTAATAAAAGACGGCATGAAGGAATCTGACACACAAACGCTCTTTATTTGCCTGCACAACACTCAACGCGCAGCAGGTTGCGGCGCAAATGAGCTTGTTGCAAAACTACTTTTGTGGCTGTTATCTCGAGGCGGGGTGAGGTGAATTGATTACTGTGAGTCACTGGGTATGACGGCAATCAGTAAAGAGTACAGCGGAGGATAACGAGAGGTCACTTATTTTCATGGAAACAACAAGGTCGTAGGAAAAGGTGACCTGCCCTTCATTTATGGAGGAGATGTCAAATCTCTCCACACAACTGATATCCACATATCTGTCCTGAAACTTTTCCCAGGGGGAAACGTGTATTTATATGACTATAAATATCCTATTACTGTTTTATTTGACCTATTTCCTTTATACAAATTTAATTTATCTTTTTGTATGTGTTACATCAAGAGACCTTGTGTTATAATAATAAATAACATGTCTTAAACCTTGGAAACTAATGTTTTTTGTGATTTCATGCTTTTTCAATAAGTTGAACGATTAAAAGACACATCTGGTAATGTTATATATTATATTCACTGACAAAATATCCCCAATAAAAACAATGAATGTATCCTGCTAACAAGTAGACCTCTGTCAGTGGAAAATGCTGACAAAAGGAACTCTGAATTTAAACATATATATCAAATGTGTTTTTTGCATGCACACATTTAAATTGCAGTTTAATGTAGGTGTAGTTTCCGAGGTACATCACAGGTATTTTACAGTATTTTAATTTTTTTACAATCGGTTCAGTCTTTTCCTTTAACAGCCGGTCAGCAAAATGTTATCAAACAGGAGGAAATAGTCCATTTTAAGGGACTATTTTCAGCTATACGGAAGAAAAGTAAGACTGTGTGGGTTGAGTCAAAATAAACTTATGAAAATGATGTTTCATAATGAAGTACACGACACAAGTGAGGCTCTGATGCTTTGATGTA